TCCTGGATGATTTGATTTGTGGACTATAAAGAAACAAAATAAAGGAATAGACAAAACTAAACCCAGATAAACCCTAAATATTTTACTGTAGAATTGAGGCTCCCAGAAAGAACGTATGGGATGCAGAATCAAAGGGGAAAAGAGACCCAATGTGCTATAATGGAGGATTATTTGTACTTTCGTGTTGGGTGCAGTGTGGTAACATACATCTGAAGAAGTATGAGCCAATATCAATACCTCTAAATTCTATACAGTGTTGTAAACCAACATTCCCTTAATAATTAAAAAAAAATTAAAATCATTTAAAAATAAAAAAGCTTTCACATTGGAGTATTTTTCATTATTGTTTTGATTCTTGTTTTCTGTTTTGTTTTGCTTTGAGTTTGTTAGTTTTTTGCTTTTAGCAACCCGCACAGCTGAATCTCCTGGCAATGAGAACTTGTCAAGGTAACTCTTGCCTTATCCTTCTTCATTGCCAGGCTGAGGGATCCATCTGGAAATAAGAGCAGCTGCTCTTGGTGCCCTAGTTTAGGACACTTCAAACACAGCTTTAGCTTTATTCCATTTTAAGTACAGACATTTCAAGATCCCATGGAATGGGACACGACCCATCTACTTTATATTTGGATGTTCCTTTTACTGAAGATAGACTGCAGGGTGGAGACAGGGAGGAAATGGATGGACTAAGAGCCTATTGATGCCAGGTGAATGATACCTACATTTTTAGTGTACCTTTTACTTCCAAGACTGTGCCCACTAATGTTCAGTAATCTCAGTCTTATCATCCCCTCAAAATGTAGGTGGTTAAAAAAAAAAAAGTTAGATTAGATAGCAGTATTTCACATGAATTGAAAAAGTGAGTCTTGTTGGGAATGGGCCTGTCCAGCTTTGTGGGTCACTGATCTCATAGAGAACTTTCCATCCAGGGTGAAGGGAGTTAACTATTCCACTGTGCTGCTCACAGCCTATTGTTATGTTCAGGAAATGGAGTTCTTGTAGAATCATGAAAATTGGATATGAAAAAATTTACAGAAAAAAAATCCATTCCAACTTCAGGACACTTAAGAAATTTTTGTCTGCTTCCGAATGGTACTGTCACCAAATTCCTCTCATTGTGTGCAGAGCTGATTTTACCAAAGTAAAAATTCTGTGATTTTCATAAACTAAAGCAGGGAGGTATATGTATACTAGTCTATTCACAATTAGATTTCAATGAATCCCGTGAAGGAGACTTCCTTTCTACAGCCATTTTCTCTCACAGGGCAGTTACCTTTTGTTGAACAAAATCCAAAATTATTATATGTTAATAAGTACATGAAACTATATTTAAAAAACAAATTTGATAAACTCTACTTAATTTAATGAAGAGTGAGACACCAATCAAAATATGCATTGCCCAGAAATTCTCACTCTTTAAGATTATGGAACCATGAACTATGGGTGCTTTGGTGGTGAGAGTGCTGTGGTAACAGCAGCTGAAAAAGTGGATCCTAAACTTCCACAATACAAAGATGTGAACCAACATTACCTCAATATAAATATTTTTTTAATTGCGAAATTAAAAAACAAAAGTCTATGTGACTGGTTGTTATCACCCTGAATATCTATGGAAAGGCCAGATTGAATTATAGAGTTTGAATATCCTTAAAAAAATTGTAATCTTTAAATCAATTTGATATTTTTACTATTGATAAAATGAGGACTCAGAGAAGTTAAGATACTTGCTTAGGAGATCCCAGAAAATTAATAGGATTGTTTTACCAATTCACAATCTCTGCACTATTGAACATAATTGTCAATTATTTCCTTAGAAACTGTGCAAATATCTGATTTAAGTTTCCAAGTATCACAGCTACCATATAGTTTCAGCAGGATTTGCCACAATATCTGGTAAATTTGAAGAATCTATGATTTAATTAAATTTGTGATGAAATGGTTGAGATTGGAAAAATTACCCCCTAGAGAATACTATTAACCTTATATCAGTTATAGCAAGATAGCCTCTGAGAATAGAAATCAGCAATGGAATATTTAGTGCATCCCTACCTTGAAGTTTTGGATGAGTGAGCATAATTACTGAACTTCCCTAAAATGAAAGGACTTAATTAAACCATTGTAAGTTCACCCTGATAGTTCAGCTAGTTTACCCAGCATAGCTGTTCTTGCTCAATACATATTAATTAAAGAAAATTTGCACATATATTCAATGAACATTCTTTCATCATATGAAGTTCAGAGGATATCTTTCATTGGAAGAAGTCAATCAGGCAATGCTAACCAGAGTTATTGATTTATTTTGCAAACTAGTAAACTCTATATGATTTTTGCATTATTCCCTAATACTCTAGAACAATAAATAGGCATGTTTAATTCTGAAAGGAATCAAAGACATACAAAATAATATAATATAAAAATATTTTCCCATATAAAAGGAAGGATAAAAAGTCAAAGTAGGAGAAAGATTAAAATGCTGGAAAATCTTTAAATTAAAAAGCTTCTACAATACAATGAAAATATTGTGCAAGATGACACACCTCCTAATAGCCCCTTATCTTAATAGTATACAGGATGTCTGGTACATGCCATGTCCTTTTTCTTTCCTCAGCAAAAATATGTCTAAAACCATATCTGAGATGCTAATCTGTATGGAAATATGTTATAACATGTGAATGATGAATCACATTTGTTATACAGAAGTGGACAGCAGAGTCAATCTTTCTAGAAGGCCTTTATTCTACAAATATTTTTATTTGATACCCTGTTTGATACTAAGAAATGTAATTATAACAAAATGTAGTCTACATATATATCAGACAGAAATCTTTCAGAACTTAGAAGTTAACAGAATAGTTTGAGTTCCTTTTCTGAAATTTCTAACTTTGTGTTCCTACTTTAGATATTTTTATCACAGCTCATGTAGCTAATTTTTACACCATCTCATTTACATTTGACTTTCTCCACTCAACTTGTCTTTGGGGATAGAAAATCATATCTATCTTCATGTACCCAGGCAAGTCCTGTTGCCAGACATGGTGTGTTCTTCAGTTAATTAATGAAAATCCAGGTCTATATTTTAGGGAATTGATACACTCAATATATGTATGAACCTAGCAAAGTCCATTATCCAATCTGATCCCAGATCCCTAACATGAAGAATGAGAAAAACACCAATTATTTCTAGTTGTATAAATTATATGTGCTAATGGGTATAATGATTGCATTAATGTAATGAAAAAGGTGTGGTTATGTATTATGATTGCAATTGTCTCTAAAAAATTGTCTCTTCATTTTTTTTTGGTAGAGATAATTAGTTACAAAAATATATTAGGTTGTTAAAAAGAAAAACAAATTAGACTTATACTGGGTTGCACTTTGGACATGAAGAAGGACATTTTTTTTAAACCAATATGATGCTAGCCACTTCCTAGAAAGATTACATGGTAATCTGAGAAACCAATGCAAGTTAATTTAAAAAAAAAATTAGACAGCTCATTCATTTTACAATTTATATCATTTTTCTACTGCTTTCTGCATGATTCTGCACTATTTGTTCTTCAGGTTGGTTTAGCTCAGAACATGCATGTAAGAGATAGAAGATAGCACAGACTCACTTTCTGCTCATTTTAATTCTACATTGCATTGATTCTTCTTTCATGTCACTTGCCTTTACCTGTGACAATTCCAGTTTGTTACCTTTTCTACCACTAGTGGAACTTACACCTGTCAAATCTGCATTAGGCATGTTATTTACTAAACAATTAACTTATATTTCTTTTACCTTCCTATTCTCTTTGCCTTAAATTCCTATACTTTCTAGTTTTGCATTTACCCCACTGAAGGATTATAAAAATCCCTATAACCCAACCTGTGACCACAACATATAATGTGTGAAATCACCACCTAGGAATCACACACTCAACACACTCAATGGAAACTTCACATTTATATAACTGAAACCCACTACAGACGGGGCCTTGGGAATGATCAAATCCACTAATTTCAGTTTCGGGAGAGACTGGAATTAGAACTTTAATTTCTACACTCCCAATTTAGAGCTCTTTCCACTGAACAATTTGTTCTCCTTTTCTGGTACTAAAGTTTTGCATACTCAGAATTGTTCTGTACTCTAAATGTCCTAGTGCAAATTCATTCCCCCTGGGGTCATGCTGACACATAGCCCTAAGCCAGCCATTTTCAGACCAACTCAGGGACCAAGAAAGGTATCTGTGTTACTGAGTGTGTGTATATTGGTTACTACAAGTATCTGCAGTTTTAAGGACTCTCCATGGATCACATTTCCTTGCAAGTTGCACTGCAGTGACCCAGACACAACACTGACAGCTGTGGAGTAAATAAATGAAAACAGAGTATTTTGATCCTAATGGGGGGAGGGGTAGTGAGAGGTTGGGGACAAGAAGAGAAAGAGGCAGACAGAATGAAGCAGCCACAGCTGTGAAAAGAACAGATGCTTACCAGGAGAGAGGGAAAGAGCAAGAGGGGGGAGAGTGATTAGGGTTCTGCCAATGTCAGAAATGTTGAAGCTCTTGGAGGGGACACACATACTTGGGACAGGTGGGAAGTGTTTACATTGAAACCAGAATATCAAATGCCTTCCTAAAGGCCAGTCAGATCATTAAAGACCCAAGTTGACCCAAAGGAAAAGCTGAAATCCTTGCCCACAGAGTCCATTACTGAGAGAGCCTCCGGAATTCTTTATATTCCATTCAAATTACTGGATATCAGCTGTGTGTTCCTGGATATCAGCCGTGTGCGTCAACACATTAACTGGATGCAAGTGGCTTGCAAACTGTGATCACCAGACCAGAAGCATCAGCACCACAAAATAAATCAAAAGAAATGTAAGTTTTCTGTGCCCATTCAGACCTACTGAATCAGAAATTCTGGGAGTAGTGCCTGAAACCTATGTTTGAACATAACTTTCAGGGGATTCTAACATACTCATAAGACATATTCATACTCCAGGGGCATGTAATGCTCACCTGCCTCGCGATTCTCCATAAGCCTCTTATTGGAAGTCAGCAGGCCTTCAGTGGATCTCATGTCTTGGTCAGTTTGAGTTCCAAAGTACCCAAGTCCCGTCATACCAAGAACAACTCCCACAGGGGTGGAGCTGAGAATAAAGGAAAGAGACAGAGACAAGAGACTTTAACTTGTAGTTCTGACAGCTGAAGTAACTGACCAATTAAAAACCTATAAAGGGCCTCCCCTGGTGGCGCAGTGGTTGAGCGCTGGGCTGCGAAGCTGCCCCGCAGCCTCTGCAGTGCCAGTTCAATCCCTGGCCCCCGGGCGAGGGTCCCACAAGGCGTGCAGACCTCTACTGCCGCCCGCTGCTCCCCTCAGCAGTGTACTTTGGTCCTTCTGCCTGTTCTGCTCCCTGCTCTGGCTCTGGTGAATTCTCTCACCCTCCCGTGCTTCTGACTGTACCCAGTGCTTGTATAAATAAATAAATCTTTTTAAAAAAATTAAAAAAAATAAAAACCTATAAAACTAAAACCTGAAATCTATGCACAGAGATTCCATTCAGAAAATAGTATCCAACACACACATAAACTCAGCGACTGGCCCAGTGCAAGAGTGGCAGTCTCAGCCCAAGGTCATTTTAAGGAAGCTTTGGCAATGCCTTCTGTTTAAGGAACACAAAATATCTGCCCTTAAGTTACTAAACGTGAACCCATCACAGGCTAGAGAAGATTTGGGAAATTTAGTTGAAGAAGTTCAGCTTAACATGAAGAAAAACTCATTTTCCTTTGGCTTTATTTCTAAGCATTGGTGATCAATCCTTAGAAATCCATAGATACATCATTCTTACTGTTTCTACTAATCTCTGACTCTGGATAGTCACTCTCACTCCATAAAATGAGAAGCTTTTAGAGAGGATACTTGAGGTCCTTTTTCAGCTTTGACAGGTAATGTTTTTGTAACAGAGCTGACTGTGGAGTTAATTAGAACAATTGATTAGGTCAGCGTTCTGAGTTCAATCCTCTGTTTGGTTCTGCAGGTGTGAATCAGGTCACCCATCTCTTTAATGTCATTGGCTCCCAAAGTTCTCCAGTGGCTCCCTCTCCATGACAAGGCAAAAAGATATTGACCACCCCTCTGGGCGAAAATGACTGCAAGTACAGACTGCTATGCCCTCAGCTGGAAGGAAGTCACAAAGTTATAATCAAAGACGCTGTCTCAGAGATTGCCTAGGAGAAAGCTTCTAAGGCCAGGAATCATCTTCTGATTTTCTGGAACTTACCCACTACGTTCTCCCTCATGTCAAATACCTCAAATATCTAAGATGAATATTGCTTTGTCAAAAGACACAATTCTAAAATTATAGAATGTCAGAACTGGAAACTCCTTAAAAAGTTGAGTGGAAGGCAATCACAAATTATTTAGTACTAATGCTGTACCCAGAAACTATGTTCAGTGTTTCACCTTGATAACCGTTCCATGCCACCTCATTGAGGAAACTCTTGTAGCAATCTCTTATCATATCACCAACGGAAACCAGAATTCTCAGCAAACAAACCTAAGGGGACAGGTCACATAATGTGTTTGGAGAAGAACTAAGACTGTGCTTCCAGTCTGTTGATCTTTTCTATCTGTTTTGTTCCTTTTTGTCACATACTTTCACCCTCATCCTCCCTAAAAGGCTCATTATCCTTCCTGAAAGGCTTAGAGGCAATACAAGCATAAGACACATTAGAAAGAAAAAAAAAACCTTTTGATTTTTTCACCCTACCACTCATTATAAAAATAACCACATTTGAAAGTTGGGAATAATGAAATTCTGGAGGATAGTTAAGGATTAGTTCAAAAGAGCACCCAAATAAATGCTTTAAACATAGGGGCTTCTAATGTGGATTTCCTGAAAGACCCTCCCTTCAGACCTTGGAAATCACAGCAGCCACAGTCTGTAGATGAAGAGTCACAGTAATAATAAAATGTTTTGATTTCTTACTGTGTTAGCCACTGTGGCATTGCCTAATTTAACCTGAGAACTATTATTAATGCCATATAAGAATGAGAAAACTGAGCTTAGTAAGTTTACATAACACACCTGAATTCAGAAAGCTTGAGAATGGCAAAAGCAGCTTCTGAACCAGATTCATTTAATAGTCAATCCTGGGCTTCTAACTGCTATCCGATATTCCCCTTGGGAACAGTCAGTGATAATGAATAGCTACACTGTCCTTCAGACTTTATAAATCTTAACACCCTCCATCTTATTTAATCCTCATAAAAATGTGGGAAGGAGGCATGGTAGGAACTGCTAAGCCTCACATAAAAAATGGGAAAACAGTGTGTCTGTGTGTGACTAAGGAACTGGTCTTGGATTTTATAGGTGGGAAGTGCGGAAACAGAACTGAGCCCTAGTGCCACAGCTAACCAAGGGGGGCACCATCGACATGTGTCATGATCAAGTAATTGCATAGAGGTGTGCAGGAGAAACCCAGATCTTTTGTGAGAAAGAATGAAAGGGACAGAGCAACTCCCTGAGATCATGGAGGTTTTGTAGTACCCAGTACACTCTTTGTCTCACCACTGAGTCCCATGTGAATTGCAACAAGTAGTGTGATCTTAGTTATTTCTCCAAATATGGCGGGGGGGACAAGAGTGGCAATCAAAGAAGAAGGTGGCTCTTCCTGATAACCTCAAAGCATCTCTCCTTTGGCTTCTTGGTTTTCCATCTGTTAGTGGACAGGAGCTCTGGCATCTGCTCATTCCACTGGGCCTATGCAAGTATGAAAGTATGTTTAAAAGGGGAGTTAGGAGTCCTATTCTTCCTTCACAGCCTCCTTGGAGACAGGCCATGGCCGAGATCCTATTATTTCCTCACCACCAGGAGTCAGACCTTCCAGAATTCTAGCTATTTCTGATGAAGGAGTTCTTGTCACACTTCAGCAAATATGTGACGTGGCCTGTTGAGTTCATTTCACACATTAAAGTACATTTCAAAAGTAGAATATAATATGCTAAACTTAATCCTTAACTAACACTGAGTTTTATATAAATTTTCTTTTTTAATAAGAAAATTTTATAGATGCTGGACTTCTCATCCCTAAAGCCAAAACAAACATAAAACATAGAAGAAAGTAAAAGATTTATATGAACACTGAATTATTCAAATAACTCTTGAATTGGAAACTTTTCACTGATTTCTAATGGAAAGCAAAATTCTATTGTGTCCATTTTTTATATTTTCTTATATGTCCATATTTATTGGTCACCAAAAATTCCTATTTTACATATTTGTAAATACGCACACCTTTTGACATGCATAGTGTTATAAAATGTTAAACTATAATTGCACTAGGCATGAATCAAAAGCTACAAATAGGGCCTTCCTGGTGGCACAAGGGGTTAAGAGCAACCTATGAAGCTATCCACAGCCACTGCAGTGCGAGTTTGAGCCCCAGCCAGGGAGCTACCCACATGGCACAGCAGACCTCTCTGACTCGCCCACTGCTCCCCTCAGCAGTATATTTCAGTAGATCTGTCTGTTCTGCTCCCCACTCTGTCTCTGGTGAATGCTTTCACCCCCCACACGTTTGGCACGAACACTAGTTCTTGTATACATAAATAAATATTTTAAAAAGCTACAAATATTGATTATTAATATTTTCTCTATATGACCTTGAGCAAGATTTTTTAATATTTCTGGTCCTCAGTTACTGTGCCTATAAAATGGAAATTTTATTCTCCATCTTTAGTCCTTCACTTCATCGCATAATTTTTGTGAAGTAAAAAGTAATCATTTATATCAAGTAACTAAAGAATATATGACAATGCATATGTGAGGTATTTTTAATGTGATTATATTTATTTTTCTTTTACATGCAGCCTTCAAACCTTGCTCTAAGGTAAATCAAAGGTAAGCAAAATAGATATTGCTCTCTTTAACTGTTTATACATCCTAGGAATATGATTATTTAATTTTATAATTGCATACATTTTGTATCTTTTTTAAAAAGATTTATTTATTTATGCATACAAGAGCTGGGGTACAGGTCAGAGATATGGGGGGTGAGAGGACCCATCAGAGACAGAGTGGGGAACAAAACAGGCAGACTGACTGAAAAACACTGCTAAGGGGAGCAGCTGGAGAGACAGGAGAGGTCTGCCACGCCATGTAGTTAGCTCCCTGGACAGCTGGGGATCGAACTTGTGCTGCAGAGGCTGTGGATTGCTTCATAGTGCGGTGCTTAACCCCTTGCGCCACCAGGGAGGCCCCGTTTTGTATTAGTATTTATTTTCCCAGTTATGTGTGATTTGTTACTCTTTCACTGTCTCAACAATTGCACCTGACTGGTGCCAAGCCTTATTAAGATGCAGGTGACAATATTGTATTTTTTTATTGATGATTAAAAGTCATTTTTCTTTAACTCATCTTTTCATCATTTTATCATTTTAAATAGTTTTATTTAAAATTACATATTTAATAATTTACTCTGAACATTTATTCAAATCCTCCTATACTGCAGCATTCAGAAGCAGATGGCAAATTTGCTACCACACCAAAAAATTTTTTTCCTCTTTGTAAAGAATAAAGGAGTCAGGAATTCCTGCAAGACATTTTAGATGTCTGCTTTAGTACATTAGGTTACTAAATGTAAGCCATCTTAAACCTACTGAAATAGCTATTATTATAAGTACACACACAAGATAGGTAAAATAATACCTTATGCCAACAAAAATTTTAATTGTTTTACTTAAACAATATGGCAACTGTAAGAGTTTGGAAAAGTTGTTTCATCTCTCTGAGTCGTGCATTCTTATAATTAAAACGAGGCTAATAATAGCCCCTTTATATATCTTACAGGTAATTGTGGGAAACAATTATAACAGAGGGTACACGTTCAATTGATAAACTGCAGAAAGTGATGCAGAGCCGAGAGAATGGGCTGCCATGAATGTGTTGGCCTTGATGGTGTTTGCAGGTAGTTCTAAGCCAGGGACCAGGGCTGGAACCCACAGTCCCTGAATCATCACTTAAATCTTCAGTCATAAAATAAAATAAAGAGGCAAGTCTGAGCCACTCCTGATTAGTTGTGGTTTTATTCTCTTTTAAGCTATGTCTACCGACATAAGAGAACCAAGAACTTATGAGGAATTCATATG